ATCTAATCTAAGAATATACAGATAAATGAATTAAATGATTATCAAAGAATTAAATAACAATTCAGTGGCAAAGTGTTGAATCCCCCAGTCCCCCCAAAACAGCGTTTGTGCAGTTATAATACAAAGTTACCATTTTTATGAGAAAAGATTAGAAAAGAACTGGAGATTCAGAGGGCAAATTATGAAGTTAAAATTTTGCCAATACAAAGTATATGAATTGATTTTGATCCCCTCTTATTAAGTTCTCTACCAACCTTAAGTCAATGAGAGAAAAATCAGCAGAGCTGGCTATTTCTCTAAATATACATAAGCAATAGGTAAACCTGGTCCTAGTGCAGTCTTTCAAACAATGTTGGGTCCAGGTTGCTTCAGAGTCAAAAGCAGAATTATAAATAATTTAAAACCAAAGGCTGGTTTCACTCTAACTATTTGTCAGTTCAATTAGAAAATGATGAATACAAAAATAGAAGAGACAGACTTACACTGGTGGAGATATGGCATCCTTTTTAGCAGGGAATGAAAGCTCTCATCTGTGTTCTTTATGCAACTGAGCAAACATAATTATCCCAAGAATACCAGGCAGCAACCTAAAGGACAGGCTCCATCTTATTAACCAAATTCAAGAAGCTATAACCAAATCTCATTTTGCTAATTATGCCTTGTTAGGTATTTCCAAATTCAATTTGTTACTCTTTTTTGCAGCATTCCTAGATAGGTAGTTATGGGAAATAATCCTATTCCTTATAAGGCCAACTGTTTTCTGGTAAGAAACATTTGGTAAGCGTGGTGAACTATAAACTGCTATTATAAGTTCCATTTCATAATAGTTTATTCTTATACAGCAAAGTATTCCAATTCTAATTCCAAACACTAATATGCAAGACAACCAAAGGAACCTGTCTAAATTTTCTGGTGGTTAATGTTAATTCTGAGTCAAAGCAAAGAAGAATGTCACAGGATTGTTTTGAAAGAGTTTCTCAGGCTTTGCCTTAGTAATTAATAAGCTGACACTGCATACTAAACACTTATCAACACAATCAATGGGGCTGCTTCCTTCTTGAGAAAATAGGTAAACCGATTCAAGGAGTTTTCTTTTGGAATAGACTGTAATATGCCACAAATATAGTGGCTCTTTTGGAGAATTTCATTCCCAGCAGTTTCATCTTGGTAACATTTAACAATTTCACTATTTTAACATTTTGAAATGCCAAAAAGAACACACTGATCCTGCAGCTAGGCTTATTAGAGAAGAGTAATCTCACTGGCAAGACAGAGAGGAACATAGTCCACTGGGAAAAGGGTAACAGAAAAAGACAGAAAACAGTGGATAACAAACAAAGCCAAGCAGTACTCCAATGTGAGATCTCATTTTCACCAGAATTTAAAACTTTACACACTAAATTAATATCACCTATGGCTTATTTAAGGTTCTAGTCATAACATTCTTTTTACATATATATATATTAATGCTATTAAAATTCAGGGGCATGAATATCTAACTGGCCTTCCTGACAACGAGTATGCAAGCATAGTAATTTTATTTTTGAAAGGTCAGATCTGAGCATTTCCACCCTGTGGCATCATTTTACCCCCACAGAGACTTAGGAACACAATGAGACCTCTCTCCACCAGACACTTGATACATACCTCAGCCAAGATTGCTCCTTGCCTGGAGTGGGAGACATCTTTGAAACAAAAAGAGTCCATTTACAGTAAGTCCTCCTGATAACCTAAAATGGATTAGTTTTTTAAAATCATGTCCAACATCAAGCCTCTTGTTCAACTATGGTAACTGCCATTGTGCCTACCAATAACCACCTGCAGTATGCAATGTTTAAAATTCTAGAGGTGCATGTCTTCTGTTCATGTATAGATATAATCAGAAAATAATTTGTCTCACTTTAGAAACTATATATGACCTTTTATTTTTATAAAATTGCCCTTAACTGAGTTGGGAGGGAGGAGGGAGGGGGACAGAGTACCAAGGGAAAAAAAAGGACAGAGGAAAAATCAATCAGTATATCTTCCCTTGCAAACTGTCAGTAGGGTGGGATTAGAAAAGCAACACTTTAAATCAGACAAAGTCCTATGGGAACCTTAAAGGTTGGTTGCTCTAAGCTTCTCAATATTCTGAAAAATAGATTGATGTCAGTGGTGACCCCACTGCGTTTCCTCTAAGAAATTGCATTTCCTCCATTGTTCAAAAGATATTAACTTGGTAATAAAAATGAGGAGAAGTTATGAGACCCATAGAGATATCTTTCAACACCTTTAAAACCAGCAAATCTGTTCTAATCTCTTATTGGATTAAATGCCCGAGGAGGATTAATATATCAAGAAATCAACAACAAAGGCAAGAACAGCGCTTATTTGGAGGAAAACAAAAAAGACGGGAGGCAAAATTATTAATAGGTTACTAAATATTTTTTTGCTTTTCTCATCTGTTCAATTTAAAATCTCAGAGAAATAATCGATTACCATTGGAAACACTGATGTTGCTTTTAAACTTTCAAATGACCAAATGACAGTTTCGCACGTCTATCACAGCAAACGCATTTGCATTCAGGAGGTGATCCATTTACGATGTGTGCATCTTAGCAAGAAATGTCTTTCAAATATGCAACATCAACTTTATTCGTCTAATGGCTAGTTCTGAGTTAAATGGGTCCATCAACATTCAAATTATGTATTAGTTAAATGCACATTTGTTTTTCCTCAAAGAGAAGTGGTTCCTGCAGCTATCCTTTTCTATATCAAAAGTTTATTATCCGATATACGTTTCTTTACATGTCATTTAATATTTTACTTTAGTCAGTTTCTAGGTTTGGTGCAGAGATCGACGTATTTCTCTGGGAAGACTTAGTTGCTGATACGGTTTATAGACATTAAGCATTAACTCAAGAGCCTGTTTTTCAAACATGCACAAATACACATTTTCTACAGACATCAGTGCATACAGAGAGCCAGGTGCACACACATTCAGTAAATAGTAAATGGTAGAAACCTCCAGAAGTAGCACAGACCACAGTTAACAGGCTGGGGCTATACAGCTAAGTAAACACCAACACACGATTCGCTCACACGGAATAAGAACTCCACGAAGGACGCTTGGGGACCACACTGGTCAGTACCCGAGGGGGCGGGAGGCGGAAAAAGTATTTCCAAACGCAACTCTGCCACGTCTTACCCTTCGCATCCCCCGGTCCTCGGGGCAGAAGCTCCCTTGGCACCTCTCGCCCAGCTCAGGGACTGGTTCGCCGCTAGAACGAAATGAAATGTACCCCAGACTACGGAGAGCTCTGCAGGGAGCCGAGGCGCCCCGCCCGGGCCAGGGGAAGGCACAAGCGCCGCGGGAGGCAAGAAGAGGCGGAGGCGGAAAAGAAGTGGAGAAGGAAGGGGCGGCAGAGGGAGTAGCGGGGGAGAGGCGGCGCCGGCGCCGGGACGCTGGCGAGGCGGGTGGGGTGGAGCGGGGTGTGCCTCTGACGGTCGGTCAGTAAGTCAGTCGGTCCGCGCGCCGGCGTCCCCTGTCTCCAGCGCCCGCCCGCGACAGCGACCAGGACTGGCGCCCCCTCCGCTCTGGCCGCCAGCGAGTCTCGCCTCTTTCCCGGGCTCTTTACTGGGTCCTCCCGCTAGCCACGCCTGGCCTGGCGTGGGGCCGCCCGTCGCCGCCAGCCCGGGCGCCCGTCGCCTCGCCCCGCTCGCGCGGTCCCTCCTCTCCCTCCGCTCGCGCTCTGTCTCTGGCTCCCTCTCGCTCCAGTCCCATTTATGAAGCACGGTCCCATCACGTGTTAATGAGCCTTTGTCCTGCCCTGGCAGCGGCGGCGGCAGCACAGACCCCGCCGAGGGAACTGCGCGGGGAGGGACCTGCGCGCGGCGCCCGCGGCTCCAAACTTTGCTTGGCGCAGGGCACCCGCGGCTGCGCCCGCCCTGGGGCCAGAGGGGACAAGCCTCCCTGGCCCGCGTCACCTAGTTCTCCTCTTCCTCCTCCTCCTCCTCCGCTGCCGCGCTCCCGAGGACCCCCGCTGCCATGACCCCGCTCTCCTCCCGGATACCCTCACACCCTGGCTGGGCAAAGAGGGGCTCGTGCCTGCACCGCCCCCGACCTCGGGGCCATTAATCACGCGCGCCCCGGCAGTGCGCAGCGCCAACACCTTGTGCGGGGGTCACGTCTGGGGCAGCGGGCTGAGCCGGAAGGAGAAGGGGAGCTGGAGGGGAGAAGCCGAGGTGCCCTGGGCCCGGGGGTTGCGGCCTCGCGCCCCATTCCCTCCACCCCACGCCGCCCCCGCTGCGGGCAGCAACGAGCTGGGCCCCGGAGCAGGGGAAATCCCGGGACCGCGCCGCGCAACCCCCGAGCCGTTTGCTACCTGGCTGTGGCTGGGCGGCCACCTGTCCTCCGCCCTCGGGGCGCCGCCCGGCTCGGCGCTGGCGCCTGCTCCAGCCCCCGCCGCCCCTGCCCGGCGCGACCACTCGGGCGCGCCCCACCCGCCAGTCCCCGGCTGCAAACAGTTGGGCTCCGTAGGCGGCTGGCTCCGAGCCTCCCTGGCCTGCGCGCCCCCTCCCCAGCCTCCCCGGACCCGGCTCCTCGCACCTTCGCGCTGGCGGAGGACGCCCCCCTCCAGGGCTGGGCGGGGGGCTCTCAGGGCTCCGGGGCGACCGCCGCGGACGCCTGGGGATCCGCGGTGCGCTCCGCGGCCGCGGCAGGAATTAGGGGACATGCTCGTTAATTGGTTCCACTATCAGCCGCCGTCTGCCTCCCGTGTGCACGGATCAAACCTTAATTGGTCTTTACATTTATCATGGTGAATTGCGAACCTACAAACAAATCCCAGACGCTGCTTCAGCAGAGAAGGCGCTCCTCCTCCCCACGCCCCCGAGGCCAGGGCCCGGTTGTGGCGGCGGCGGGTCGTGGTTATTTAGATATCTTTATCTCTTGTGAGTTGGGTTGGGAGAGGACGGCACGGTTTCCACCTGACGGAGCCACGTCACATCCATCGGCCACAAGAGCCCCACCATAGGCATTTGGTTCGGTTCCTGGCCCTCCTCTTCTTGGCCACCTTGGCGTTCATTTTATGACACTTTGAGGCAAGGTCTGTCCCAGCCGTCATCCCGCACTTCCCTCTTTTACAGACCTCCACCATCCTCCCTTCCCTCACCTCAGCCCAACAATAATCCTAATATATCTGGACCCCATATTTGAACTACGTGGTGAGAACCGGGAAAGCAGGCCTCTCAAGGAAAAGGAAAATTGGTGGGCAGGAAGCTGCAGATTGGTGAGTTCAAGGCCCTGGAGAAGAGAAGGCTAAGGCTGTAGATTCGTTTTGGAAATATCAAGCCAAATCCTAAAGACTGCCTGCAGACAGCTAGTTCAATCTTTGAAAAGTAAACCGCTTTAGGCTAGAAACAGTATTTCCCATCAGGCAAATGGCCCTTTGAAACAGAGTCCACAGCTGAAATGATCAGGTTCTACTAGGTAGGTAAATGGAAAATGTTATCAGTAAAGATCTGAGGGAACCATCAATAGACGGAAGAATGATTGAGAGAGAGGTGGAT